ATTATCATGTGGAAGGTTTGTTAGTAAGAATGATCCATTTATATTTACTGTTGGTTTTGATAGAATGCAAAATAGACAATTTGGTATATTTGATTTAAGACAAGATAAACCATGTTGTATTAAACCATTCCCATCGAGCAGTTCTATTTGTAAACCGGTAGTAGATATAGACACATCATTGATTTATCTTTGTGGAAGAGGAGATAGTATTGTTAAAGTCTATGAATTTGATTCAAAAAATAAAAATTATATTTCTGAATTAACTCAACAAAATGTAGGAGAGTCTTTAAAAGGAATTACTTTATTACCAAAAAGAGCAGTTCATGTTCGTGATTGTGAAATTAATACATTATTAAGAGTAGGAAATAATAAAGTCAGTAAAAATGGGTCATATGTTATTCGTAGAGCATCAACAAAATATCAAGGTGACTTGTATCCAGAAAGTATTTGGGTAGGTACTAATCAAACTGTTGAAGAATTCATGAAAGGAGAAAATAAGAAACCAAAAGAAATTAATTTAGAATGTATCTTTGATAGTAAAGGAGCTCTTGATGCTGCATATGAACCTGAAGATGTTAAAGAACAAAAAAGAATTGAAAAAGAAAAGAAAGAAAAAGAAGAACGCGAGAAAAAAGAAAAAGAAGAAGAGTTAAAACGAGTTGAAGAAGAGAAGAATAGAGTTGTACATAAAGCACCAAAAATTATTCGTTCAACTCATTTTAGACACATTAATACAAGGGCGTTTAATAAAAATACTAATATTATTGATTGTAAAGTTAATACTAATAATTCACAGTCATTAATTAAAGTAAATACCAAATGGGTTGGTATTCCTTGGATTGGTATTGGTAAAGTTGCTGTTTGGCCTTTAGAAAAATCAGGTAAAATGATTGATCCAATATTTTGTGATAATGGTGGAAATATCAATGACTTTACTTTTGATCCATTTGATGATAACATTCTTTATATAGGAGGAGAAGATGGTAAAATAAAAGTTTTCTCAATTGCTCCTGAAGGAGCTACTAAAATAAAAGAAATTCAAGCACATAATAGAAAGATTAATGGATTATACGTTAATCCATTTATAAAGAACTGTGTTATTTCTATTGGGACAGAACCATGTTTAAAAATCTGGGATATTGAAAAAGGAGAATCCCTCTTTGATGTTATTGGATTCGGAGATAATATTAATAATATTAGTTTTAGTTGGGATGGTGAAAGAATTGCTGTTTCATGCAAAGATCATATTGTCAGAATTATAAACTGTCGTAATGGAAATATTGAAAATCAATGTGAAGTACCACAAAATGGAGGAAAAGGATTTTTAGTTAGTTGGTGTGGTAGAATTGAGAAGTTATTTATTGTTGGATTTAATAAAATGTCACAAAGAGGTTATTCATTAATAGACATTAAGGATAATATGAAAATTATTAATAATACTGTCATTGATACTGAGTCAGCGATTTTAACACCAATTTATGATGAAGATCTTAATGTTTGTTATTTAATTGGAAGAGGAGCTAAAACAATGCATTGTTTTGAAATAACTGATGAACCACCATTTGTTCATCCATTAAATATTTCTACTTTTAATGATGTAGTTTATGGATTTGATAAATTCCACAAACAATATTGTGATATTAAAAAAGCTGAAATTATGCATTTGGTTTTATTAAACGGAGAACCACCATCAGCAATAAGCCAAACTTCTGTTTATGTTCCACGAGTAAGGCTTGAATATTTCCAAGATGACATTTATCCTGAGACAAGAAAGAATGAAGCTATTTATACTATTGAAGAATGGATGAATGGAGTTCAAAAGGATATCCCTTATATTAGTCTTCAACCTGAAGGAATGAAGAAATTGTCTGAAGCACCAGCTGAGAATGAACGTGCTAAATACTCTTATGAACAAGAAAGAAAAAGAATTGAAAAGGAAGAAGAAGAGAAAAGAAACGCTGCAATTTTTGATCGCGTTTTTGACAGGATGAATGAAAAAAGAGATACATTTGATCCTATTGAAGATGACTCTGAATCATGGTCTGATGATTAACTCTTTCATTTTTACTATTTTTTAACTTATCATAACTGTTTTAAATCAAAAGACAATAAAAATAAATTAACTCAATTTGATGTATAAAACAATACCAATAATTAATGCTAATATTAAAACAATAATTAATGAAACTAGAAGAATAATTTTTAATTTTTTTGATGATTTTCTTTGATATTTTTCAGCAGTATCTATTTCTTTATTTCCTTCATTTACTTTTTTGTCTGTTGTTATTGCATTATGTTCAATTGAATCTATTTGAGTTTGTTGGATTTGAACCATCCCATTTAATTGTAAAAATGCTTGGTGTAATTCTTTTTGTTTATCAACAATGGTTTTAATTTGTTCTGTATTCTCTTGATGAATTGCTAAGGCTGACTCACTCTCTTGTTGTAAATAAACTTCATCTTTATTTATCAATGGGGATGACTCATTTCCACTTACAACTGGAGCAGGTGGAACAGAAGAATGAATTGAATAAATCCATTCTTCAAATCCTTCAATTCTTTTTTCTAATTCATCGCTTTCATTTTTAAATTGTTTAATTTCTTGAATTGTTTTATTAAATTGGTTAATTTGGTCTTCAAGCATTTTATATTGTAAGTCATATAACTTTTCATCGTTATTCTTTGTTGCTAATTTCAATTTTTTAATAGTTGTAATGATTGTTCTTTGACTGTTTTTTAATGAGGCAATAGCTGTTTCAGTCATGGTGTGCTATAATAAAATATTAAGTTAAGCTTTTAATGACAATTTATTGGTCATATTTATTTTTCTTTCTTTTTGAAAATTCGTTTTATTTTAACTGAAATTTCTTAAGAAAAGTAGTAAAAAAATAATTTGAGACATAACACAACAGAAAAATTCAAATATAGCAATTCTAAACAAACCAATTGATTACCTTCTTTTGATACAAGGTGGAGGTAAGGTATACTTAACATTAATATAATAACTGTAAATAGTATAATATTATAATAATAATGATTTCTCATTATAAAGGAATTAAAGACTGTTTTTCTTTTTTTTTTGGTTCTACTATTATAACATTTTATTTATATTTTATTAATTTTATCTTCAGATCCTTTTATTGGTGCAGAGTATACATCAAATTTTGTTGTCATGACTATTGAGTAATGAATCTTTAAAGAAAAGCAACCAAGGTATAGGTATTCAGGTTCAAAGAAAAGAATGAATGAAATAACAATAAAATGAGTAGTAACGGTCACGAAATTATGCATTTTATTCGTATTCATCATTATATTATTATAATGATTTGTGATGTTGTTAATTATTTCATAATTGTTGTCTAAATGTAATGAATGTATTCATTGTTTGATTAAAACATGGTGTTTATGTTTGATAGTTCATTGAAATGAATTATCATGTTGCAAAATATTTCTTGTTAAATGTTTAAAAGGTAAAAATAGTAGAAAATATTATTAGATGAAAATATTTGTGATTAAATATGAGAAGAAGATATTTGTAAATTATTAGTTATATCTTTCTACTTCGATTTCTGTATTAAATGATTATATCTGTTGATGAAATTGAAATTGAAATAAAATAAATATAAAAAGAAAATGATAAAAGAAAGAATAAAGAAAATAATAAGAAAGTAAATATAATGATTAATGATAAAATTAATGAGTTATTATCATGAATGAAAGTTGAAGATGAACATTAAATTCATTATTATTATTTATAAATGTTTAATTTATATTACATATTAAATAGTCATTCTTCATTCTGTATTATTGTGTTGATGTTTAAATTATTCAATTTGTTATTATCATATCATCATTTCATTGAAACTTGTTATTTATTATCTTTTTATTTATTTCATCATTTATCTCTTGTTTGATATGATAATATAAATAATTTACATTGTATATTATCATCATTCATCATTGATAATCATCTGTGATATAATTTAATTTTCATATCAATAATTATATCATTTAAATAAATAAATAATAACATCTATTAATATATCATTATGACATCTCATCAATGTGATAAATGAAACGTAACATATTTACTCATTAATAACAATACGATTGATATTCATATTTATATAATCATTATTATTCATAAATAACATTATAAATTTGAATTAACATAATACTCTTCTTTATTATTTTTCATAATGATATTTTCACATTAAAATAGAATTGAAGGTAAATGAAATGAAATAAAGAATAATATAAAATGAACATATTTATGAATGAAAGTACTCAACAATTCAAGATACATCATACTCAATACAACAAGAAGTTACAAAATGTCAACTGATTGTTATAGAATTTGTATTTTACCTACTTTTTATTTTATTTTATATTTTAATTTTTTTAAGAGAAAATAATAGAAAATAGAATAATCTAATATTCAAAAAATATATTACACTATTTTCATTTGAGCATTTTATTTAAATGCATAATTTCTTCGCTTATTTTGGTTCCCGTTTTTTAACCAATAGTAATATTATAATCAGATGATAATTATGAATCAATGCTTTAATTCTTTTAATATTATGTGTGATGCCTTTGTTATGCTATCTTTAACCAAAAACTAAGAAAAGAAATAAAAAGAAAGTATCAAATATTATGTTAGTTGTATGAAAAAGAAGATAAAAAAAAAAAGAACAGAAAGAAGATATAAAAATAAATAACAAAAAGAAGAAATAAATGTTATTTTATAATAACATTTTAATTAAAATGTTATTAAAAACATAAAATGAACTTAATAATAAATATGAGATTTAATAAAATAACAAAAATAACAAAATGTGATATATAACAATAAAATAAATAATGTTATTAAAAATAAAAACTTAAAAATAAATAATAATGGAATAACAACATCAACA